TTCCATACTAGTACCAAAAATACAGTGTGGAATGAAGCTGTAATGAAAAATAAAATATTGAAATAGAGAGAGGCAGTGAAATTTGAATCCCATGCCAGGAAAAGTAAAAATTCACTCATTCCTGGATCTGATACAAGCCTCAAAAAATATGAAATATCGTGTACACTCATAGCAGTATTCAAAATATGTCAAGATATTGACATATCAGGCATTTAAAATCAGTAAATATTCAAAAATATTTAAATTCAAATAATAGTTGAAATAATCGAAGTTAAAACTCTTGACAAACATTCAAGTAAAAAAGCAACAAAATAATTAAACAAGCGAAAAATTATCACGAAAGTTGTCTAGTCTTTCAACGTATTTGAAAATTTCATGTGATGGACTAAACTTATTAACTGAAGTGGACCAGTCAGCTTGAATTACAGACGAAAAGACGTCAAACATGTCGATCACTTCTGACACAAGTCACTACTGCGATACACAATATACAAGAGAGTCGTTGAAACGAGAATGGGTTGTCACATTGTAGTATGCGATTTTCACACCTCTCAGTGGAGAACCGACACTCCTTCGTTAACAAAGAAATCTTTGTCCTCACATCCAACAATTTTCAATTGTGGAACACAAATGTAAATTTCTAGATGTTGAGAGATTCATATTTATTTGTTTCGTAATTAATTTCTACTGAATGGAACCAAGTTGAAAACTGCAAATTTACAAAATGGCTGCAGAAACGTGAATCACCTGCAATCCTATGGAGGAGTAAAGCATTAAACACAATGTATTTCTGTGAGATATACGAATATTACTCAAACGTTAAGATAAATCAAGAAATTCCACAGGTTAACGAGGGTAAAGCATTCCAGATACTTGGTTTGCACAGAGCCTGCCTGGCTCTCCCGTTTTCGTGCCTTCGGAGCACCCCTTAGTCTAAGCATGATTATTGATCCCAGGACTTTAGATATTATATTAGTCAAGCTGATCCCTCTGTGATTATCATAGGAAGACTTGTCTCCCTTCTTCTATTTAGGGATGATCAGTGGCTTACACCAACCTGACGGGACTTGCTCTGATTCCCAGGCGCTCCCTAGTACCTCAAGTAATGCAGACAGTAAACTGTCTCTACCATACTTAAATACCTTAAGAGTCATATCATCTGGTACTGCTGCTCTGTGGCAGTCTTCTACCCACCCTCGTCAACGATACTCTATTGTTTTGTGGTCTATCTGAGTCCAGCGTTGATTTGGTGATGGAGGTCGCCAGGTTGCGCAGTGTCTCCCTTTGTGCCTAAAGTTAGTGCCGACTAGGAACAAATGATAATCAGAGCAAAACTGTAGAAGATGATCACCATTGTCGTCTTGTTGACAAGGAACTCCATACGTACTACCTACACGCTTCTCAATCTGGTACAACTTTCCTACTTGGTCAATGAAGTCGCCTGCTAAAACAACTATGTCTGAACGTTTTCCTTTTTGCAGCCAATTAGACAGTTTCAGGTATAAATCATCCTTCAGTTCATCTGAACTTCAGCGTAGGCGGAGACTACGAAAAAAGCAACGACAGGTAGCGCTGTCTTTCTTTTAACAGACCTATTCAGATGTACCGCACACATACGAATATATACTAGGATCCAGTCAAGAAGTGATTTATCTGCCCTAACAGTCGATGCTATCTCTAAACCTGCGAGTCCCTGCAAGCAAGCTGAAGAGTCTCCTGACACTCTTTAAGTGAATTTTGCTGATTCACCTTGTTGAACGGGTGAGGTTTAGTGAATGACCACACTCGGGTCTTGTATGCGTGTCTCTTAACAACAACATACATCCATGGCTCGAGATGCCAGAGTTCTTGCTAGCGATGCCTGTTGTCCGATTTGGCAGAGGGTTCTGACGTTAAATGCCCCTATATGAAGTAGGAAACATGACTTTTAAAGGCCATCTCGGGTGTTTCTATGACATTCATCGTTATTTGTGGTCACAGGGTGAAATGAAGTTGCCTCACTAACCTGAAGAACAGTACTAACTGCAGTAGGGGGATAGGATGATGAAGGTGATGTGGGTAGAGGAGAATGATGCTTAGGAAGGCTTCGTGTGCTTTTGGAAGTGAGTGAGCGGTTGTTAATTCCCGGTTGCCCACACTGTGGAAGCTGTTTGATTCTTTGGGTACCTGAAACAAAGAGAGTATTTGTGTTGGGTGACCTCAGAGTCCAGGGTACAACTGCTTGAGGCAGGTCACACACGGCCTGTATGAACTGGTTTCTTGGTTTGGTTCCGTATTGGTAAACTTAACATCTATAAACTGATATGATTGTGAACAATAAATTGTGTTCGAAACGTCATCCAGTAAATAATGCTCTTTCACTGTGTGATACATCTAATAAACAAACTAATATGGAAACTTACCGTCGGTTACGGTCCACCGTAGGGTAAGTTGAGGTGTGGAATTTCGGGGTCAACTTTTCCTAGCCCCCTCTCTCCATAGTGGAGAGGCAGCAAAGCTGTCATGTTGGTGATCTGAGGAAAACACCTCACTGCAGTTAATAACCCCTATTCCAGAGCAGTACGACTTGGCCCAGAGACCCGCAGTGTAGTGTAAGAAAGATTCTTACACTATGCCGGTAACTGCTTTTTGTCTAATTGCTATCCTAACAACTTTCTAGCATGACAGGACCTACAGGAACATTGATTCTAGTCAGTGTAACTTGTTAGGTCATCGCTGTGTGCAGGCACGACTACCACGTCAAGGTAGCAGCTATCGGTCACAGTCACTATATACCCACGAATAATCTGAAATTTGTTTGTTGTTAATTTATCGGACCACTGATCTTTGGATACCAGTGGTCATGGTTACCGTTTCAATTTGGTGTTCTCATTGTTTCAGAGTAAAGACATATATCAGAATCCTTTCATAGAACCTTCGGATCTTTTAGTGTTTTCAATCACAATTTCAAATAAATATTCATTAACAATCATTTGGTTTCAGATCCGAGTAAGCGTATTATCTTCGATAGAATTTAAGTGCGTATTACTTATCCGGAAAATGTGCAAATACCTGCTAATGAGAGTGGAGCCGTATCTAAAGCAGATTCTCTAATTGCACGCATTTAGAAGAATCAGCATATTAGCATATTCCTCAAGAGCTTGGATACATAATGAGATGGTGGAGATTAGTATGAAATCAAAATTGAAAATCCAGTTATTAACATTTCTCAATAACCAGTTTTTGACCCTTCTCCAAGTGTTCTGCTAATGTTTATATGGAAAAATGGATCTAACTGCCGTAGATTCCAAAAAACATTAAACACAAATATTCATATGATTGCTACATTGCGACTAAGATAATAAAATGTATCTTAAATGTAGTAAACGAATAACAGGTTCCATTACTCAGAGACCATTTCAGTGTGGAGCTCCTTTCATAACTACATGAAAACTTGTGTGTCTATTTTCCAAATTGAATTGTGAATCCTGGAAAAAATAAATTAATCGAAATGATCATCTCATTGCTTCCTGAAGTCTTCGTCTTCATCTATTTCGAGTGCATATTTCAATGAAGGTTGTTCTCAGCTAAGAGGGTAGCCGAGTGTCCGTTGTGATCCGTCTGTGGTTATTTTATTGTCATATGTGTAGATTTCCACTGAATTGAACTAACTTTTCTGGAGTCATTCTGTTCCGGTTTCGTTTTTCAACCTTCTGGAAATTCTGAATGCTGACTTGCTGACTCCGTGATTTACTGACTCACCGATACTGTGACTGATATAGTTGAAACACTCTTGTGGATTTCTCTTGATCGGTGTTTTTCTGAACTTGTAAAGACGATTTTGACTTGTGCAAATCGAATTCGTATAGTAGTGAGTGAGGTCTCAGTCACTAAACACCCGCGAGTAATCTGTAATTTGTTTCTTGTCGATTTATCGGACTACTGGATTTCGAATAGCAGTGGTCATGTTTATCGTGTCAATGTGGTGTTCTCAATTTTTCTGAATAAGATGTATCAGATTCCATAAGGAACACATTTTCACAATATCCACATGAGTCCATCATTGTTTGGAAATAAACTTCTACTGAATATTCGATTTTCAGATCAAGGTGAGTGCCTTTAATATACCGAAATCATGTGAAAGATAGACACACACTTCGGCGGTAATATGTCACAACGACATTGCAGCCATATATACACCATATTCTCAAGTCGCCTTCCCTACCCAGAATCATTCAACCTATATTAATTGATAAATGCATACATTGATGCTCATTTCGATAATTATTGTCTCTCCCATGGCATACGACGCGGGTATGTGCTCGACTATGGCGATATCTAATCCTTGTGCACTTTGGAGAGGACGGATATATATCTAATTCATGTAGAATGAGGCAGGAGTTCCTAAATTATCACATTTGAGGGCGGAATTCGGCTATTCCTTTTACGTATATCTTTCCTGCAAATTTTGTTTTATATCCATCCATCAATGTCATTAATATTGGTGATATGCTTTTCTGATGACGGCGGTAGATGCATTCTCTATTCTGATATTTCATTTCATTGAAGTTTATTAATGCATTTATCTGCACGTTTCAACTTTGTCTCATATAATCACGTTCATATTCCATCTTCGCTAAAATGTTTTGTTCGTCTCTCGAAGTATATTCATTATTTATATTTATAATTACATCTGTTTGTTGTTTCTTTTGGTGAAACATTTTACTGATATCAGTGTGGTTATCTTTAACTTAAGATTTGACGTTTTCTCAATTTTCGACTTTCATTGATGCCAACTTTAAATTTGAAACATTTCGAGACATCGCCTTAATTTTTTTAGAACTTTGGTTCCATTTCTGTTTATATGATCCTTCTTAACTGCAATACTTATTTATATATTCGAAGATGTACAATACGTTTTCTTTTATATAATTGCTGTTTATCCAGCATATCTTGGTGAGTAGTGCAAAACTGTTTACCAAACATACTAATATAGATTTATTCTTTTTTGTGTTTGACAGTTGCAACACAATCAGTTTTACCCTATCAACAATTATCTGATAGACAAGCTTCCTATTTTTCTGTTATCTGGGATGTTGTGTTTCGTGAGCAAATAATTTAATTAAATGAATTATCATTTGGGAAATCGTTCCGAATTTTCACATCTGGTGACTAAGTATAGCCACAAATCCCTTTGCCACAATAGGCTGAGACACCAAGCTGTAATTTTGTTAGTGTTTTCCAATAAATGCACGAATTTTTGGAATCAGTTAATGCTAAGAAATATTTCAAGATTCATGGTTAGTTTTCGTTGGTGTTTTTGAAGTGGTTGCATGCAATGAGTTTGTTATGAACAAAAGGTATTCTAGGAATAATTTCGCATCCAATTTTCCAAATTATTTCGCGATATCAGTGTTGAGTAAGTTAATATACCTCAAATGTTTTCATCAAACTATATTGAAAATTTTAACATAACAAGGGGACGAAGATGCTAATCATCTTCTAACCTATTGTCACAATAACTTACAGAACTGTCAGAAATGAATTGTGATGCGCTTTTCTATGAAGTAACGACATGTTGTCCAAAAAGACGAATACTTTCCAAGATTGGCTATCTGATGTTCAACTTCACTCAGAGATTTGAAAAATATCCTATTATCATCAGTGTTCAAGTCTGTTTATATCCACAAGAATCTGGTGTGTTTGAAGAAATTTAGTAATTGAAGTGGACCAGTCAGCTTGAATTACAGACGAAAAGAAATCAAACATGTCGATCACTTCTGACACAAGTCACTACTGCGATACACAATATACAAGAGAGTCGTTGAAACGAGAATGGGTTGTCACATTGTAGTATGCGATTTTCACACCTCTCAGTGGAGAACCGACACTCCTTCGTTAACAAAGAAATCTTTGTCCTCACATCCAACAATTTTCAATTGTGGAACACAAATGTAAATTTCTAGATGTTGAGAGATTCATATTTATTTGTTTCGTAATTAATTTCTACTGAATGGAACCAAGTTGAAAACTGCAAATTTACAAAATGGCTGCAGAAACGTGAATCACCTGCAATCCTATGGAGGAGTAAAGCATTAAACACAATGTATTTCTGTGAGATATACGAATATTACTCAAACGTTAAGATAAATCAAGAAATTCCACAGGTTAACGAGGGTAAAGCATTCCAGATACTTGGTTTGCACAGACGTTGTAACTGAAAAACAGGTTCCATTACTCAGAGACCATTTCAGTGTGGAGCTCCTTTCATAACTACATGAAAACTTGTGTGTCTATTTTCCAAATTGAATTGTGAATCCTGGAAAAAATAAATTAATCGAAATGATCATCTCATTGCTTCCTGAAGTCTTCGTCTTCATCTATTTCGAGTGCATATTTCAATGAAGGTTGTTCTCAGCTAAGAGGGTAGCCGAGTGTCCGTTGTGATCCGTCTGTGGTTATTTTATTGTCATATGTGTAGATTTCCACTGAATTGAACTAACTTTTCTGGAGTCATTCTGTTCCGGTTTCGTTTTTCAACCTTCTGGAAATTCTGAATGCTGACTTGCTGACTCCGTGATTTACTGACTCACCGATACTGTGACTGATATAGTTGAAACACTCTTGTGGATTTCTCTTGATCGGTGTGTTTCTGATTTTTGTGACTATTTTTATAGGTATTATTTGTGTACTGACTTTTTTTCTCGTTATACACTTGAATTATTTTGGATAGCTATCGACTTTTTTTTTGATTTTTCGGTTATCAGTTTTAACATTTATTGCCACAATTTCGTATTCACATTGTTTCACACTTTTGAGGAATCGGATTATTTTTGATTTTACACCGGGATATTGTTTTTACGTTTGAGTGAAATTTTTTTTACTTTATTTCAATTCTTTTACAGAACGAGGTGAGAGCGCTTTTTTCAGCAATTTTTTTACGTAGTTATTTGGCAATTACGGAATATTAACTGTATTTATTTAATGCAATTCTTCTATTCAAAATTATTATTCTCGTTTTCGATTCACTCTGTATAAGCATCGAATTTAGATTCCTAGGACAGTTGTTAAGTGCATAAACGAGAGATAATTTCGACAATTATTGTGCCTCTCTTGACATGCAATGCTATTTTGATTTGACACTAGTACCTTGTGTGATGCCTCTAGTCATCAGATTGGTGTAGACTAGCATGAAACCTAGGTCCAAGGCTTCCTGCCGATTGCCCTCAGCCATCTAGTACCATACTATGCTATTTTCAAATTGATTTTGTTGAGATTCAATCTATAGCATTACTCAGAGGAATAAAGAATACTTGATTCATCTAGAATAACGAAAGAGATCCCAAATCATCATACTTAAGGGTGATAAAAGTTGTTTCCTGCAGCTGTGTTTGTCTGGCAAATGTTTTTCTAAATCCATGAATGTCATTATTATTGGAGATATACTTTTCTGAACATGATCGTTGATGTATTCACTAGCAGGATAGTTCATTGTGTCAGCAGCTGAATTTGTGTGGACTCACTGAAGTTAATCTAAGCTACTGACTCCCACATGTCCATTCCTTGATGTGTATCAAATATGTGTGTATACGCTTATGATATTTCCCGGATGAAGACGGCATTTCATATGATATTGATTGCATCACAATATCAGTGTTTGGAAATTTTCCACTGTGTATCCGAAAAGGAAATCTGAATGAACTGCGACTTACTTCATATTGGAGTTCAAATTTCTGTGTTCTACTTTTTCTGAGTAGCTGAATAATTCATAGGTTATGATGTATATCCTAGTGTGATTTCCAAATTAATGATAAGAAATTCTCTAGCAATGTTTTAGTATATGCATTCATCTTGGATTTGCTTAGTGGCGTTAGATTATCTCACCAATACTTTTCAGGTGAAATCATTTTTTTAGAGTATGAATCAACTAGTTCCATTCGCTGATTGTGACAATGCAACAAGAATGTGTACTCTGTTTGGATCGTGTATTGTATTTCTGGAACATATTTCTAAACAATCTGATCACACACGGATTTGTTATTGGAGTATACATGAAATCAAAAATGAGATAATAAGGGAGAAAATACACATAGGTCAAGCTAAAAGTACATATTGGAGGTCGAAACAACGACGAAGTTCACTTTCAAATGGAAGAGAAATGATAGGGCATATATCATGTTATTAAAACAAAGTTTACCAAAAGAAGTGTAATAAAATGACGCATTGTTTTTGATAGCATAAATGTGGTTTAAACTCACCAGTTGCTAGTACTTCCACAAACCCTACGATACGCCCTGAACACGTTATACAAATAGGCCGAAAGACGTGTACACATCAGTTTTAAGTCCTATCTTTATTGTGTGTTTCGCAATAGAGGACCTTAATCGTATGTCTTTACTATTAATGGGTTTCAGGGACTGGATTTGCCCCTAGCGCCATTTAGGAACATCCCCTGAAGCCCTTATATGCAGAGATCAATGAGTCCTCTCTCTGTATTTATGGCTGAAGGAGTTATGGAGCATAATCCAGAAGTCACTATCATCAAATGAAGATGATAAGAAGGCTGCTGCAAGTATGTCTTTATAGCTGTTCATCCGCGTGCAGTTGTCCACATCGTCATATGACTTGTAAAAATAAAGACCATTATTCAGCTTTTGTAGATTTATTGACGCCTTCCCAAATGGCATAAGGGGCTAGTCTGTGCTCTAGACAGAACAGCATTAAGTCACATGATGTGTTGGAGATGGCTGTCTTACCTGAAAATTCCGAATGAAGAGAAAATAATACATAATAAGCTACGAAGTGAATTGTACATTATAATTTAGAATATTTTCATACATATGGTTCCCTTGATAAATTTCGATAGAAAGAAAGACCAGATTTGCAGTATAAAATGATATCATTCTATTTGACAGGTTCTCATCAGCTGCAAACTACCTGAAAATACAATAGTTTTAAATAATGGCATTTCATACTTCTTTGTATGAAATATTTTCCACAATGAAGCTATTATTATGATATGTATAAATTTGTACGGATATATATTTATTTGCATATTACACAGAATTACACGGTAAGAAATAAGAAAGTATCACGTACTTCAATGAACTCTTATTTTCCACTACTCATTTCTGTGTTCGAAGGCTTGGATGAAATCAGCTTTGCTTCATCAACAATCATCTGGTAGAGAGGTTGCCTATCTGATTATCATAAGTCAGCTTTTCTTTCGTGAGCATTTCGTTTCCCATGAAATATTCAGTTTGTTTGAAACCTTTCCGCATCTTGATATTAAGCCACTTAGCATAGCGTGGCATCTTAAATGTCACATACACCGGAAAACATGACTCTTCTGAAGTTAGGCACTGCAACAAGGAAATTCGTTGAATGCGAGCAATCCTTCTTCCCATTATCCGTTTTTTACCTTCACCTTCCCCATTGGAAAATAGGGTTTCAAGCTAGTGGCTTGAAGTTTCTGCGGCAGTGTTCATTTTACAGGATGGAGTTACTAGCCTCATGCTCAACCTTTCCTCTTTAACAGCATTATTTGTTTGCAATGAATCAATTCGATACGGACTTTCTAATTTTTTTATCATAAGGTCAAATATCTATCAACAGTGTTTTCTAAACATCGAAATACAATTCTTTTTTCAGAGAAACGTGAGTTACACAGCCGAAACATTTTATACACTTGTACTCTTCTGTTATCCTATGAGTATAGTAAAAAAGATCTTAACGGATTCATACATAGTTGTTATTCCAAGATCAGAATCAGTTTCAGAAAAAGGCAAAGGATAAATTCACATGTTAACATAGAATTTTCACGAGATAGTGTGTACTCAGATATACACCATCTTCTATCTATTAAATGATGTAGAAATTTATTCTGAGATTTGAAAAATATCCTATTATCATCAGTGTTCAAGTCTGTTTATATCCACAAGAATCTGGTGTGTTTGAAGAAATTTAGTAATTGAAGTGGACCAGTCAGCTTGAATTACAGACGAAAAGAAATCAAACATGTCGATCACTTCTGACACAAGTCGCTACTGCGATACACAATATACAAGAGAGTCGTTGAAACGAGAATGGGTTGTCACATTGTAGTATGCGATTTTCACACCTCTCAGTGGAGAACCGACACTCCTTCGTTAACAAAGAAATCTTTGTCCTCACATCCAACAATTTTCAATGGTGTACCACAACGTTAACTGCTGGAGGCTGAAGGAGTCATGATATTTTTTCCGGAACTTACTTCTTCTCAATTGAATCAAGCTGGAAGATTGGGATTTATAATACACTTGCTTCATAACTATCAGCTTGATTCGGAAGAATTTGTGAACGCACTATTTCCGTGAAATACGCCGGTGGGTGAGTACTGATGAAGAGTCCAAAATTAGGACAGAACGGGTGTCCAGTCTTCGCAGGTTTTCCAATGGTTGTCTGACTGAGTGATTTACTGACTCAACGATGCTTGACTGACATAGTTAAAACACTTTTGTGGATTTCTCTTGATCGGTGTATTTCTGAACTTGTAAAGACGGTTTTGACTTGTGCGAATCAAACTCGTATAGTAGTGAGTAAGGTCGCAATCACTTAACACCTGCGAGTAATCTGAAATTCGTTCGTTGTTGATTTGTCAGGCTAGTGAATTTCGGATAGCAGTGGTTATGTTCATCGTTTCAATGTTTCTTGTTTCAGAGTTATTTCATATGACATTTTATGCAGTACGTTCGAATCATACCTCCACCATTTCTCGAATTTTGTGTAAACACATCGCCATATTTTGGATTCCAGTGAACCGTAAGTCGAAATAATTTTTCCATCTAAATTCTTTCCATGAATCAAATGTGTATAATTTTCACCCTCAATTTCCTTCTTCTATAACCATCCAATTTATATCTTATATTTATCGATAAACGCATCAACTAAAGATCACTTCAAGAATAAATTTTGCTGCACACGATGCATAAATTGGGTATAAACTCACCAGTTGCGAGAAATTCAACAGACTTTAGGATACTGCATAAAAGCGTTTTAAAGATGAGATCAAAGGACGTGTCAAGAACAATTTCATGTCCTACTCTACAATATATTTCGAAGTAGAAGAGCTAGTTTGTCTGTTTTCACTATCATTGTGTTCTCAGGACTGGATTTGCCTCGGAAGCCATTTAGGAACCTGCTATAAACTCGTTTTTTGTAGAGATCGAAAATTCCTCCTTATGTTTGTTTGTCCACCTATACATTAAAATTCGTTAATACAGTAATACTCGACGCCATGTTTCGCATGTTGAAAGTGCCTAGGTGGATATAGCGGCTACACATTCTCGAAAAATTATGAGCATAGCTGCATATAAAGTGATTTTTACAGAAGTATTAAATCTTTTTGATGATACTAAGCTGCTGTTATCATTCATATAGGATGGTATGGTATATATGGCTTTCTA